CCTCGTTAACCAATTGAAGATTCTTGACTAAGTCTAGATTCTCTAACCTCATCGCCTCGATTTTCTATGTCAACTCCTACCCCGGCATCCAGCTGCTCCACCCTTCTTTTCATGGTTTGCCAATTATCTTCGCCAACCCTCCGCTGAGCAATAGCGGCATCGCGTTCAGCCACTGCCTTCTGACCGGCATTTGGGCATTCTTCAATCGAGTCGCGGCATTCTGAAGCCAGCGCATGTATTGGCCTCTCGTGCAATTGCAACTCGCGATAAACTGAACAAAAACGGAAGAAACCATCTAAGTCGAGCTCACTCATTATCAAACTACAAACATAAACATCGAATGGAGATTCCGGACATACCTTGAAGGCGAAGCTCGCCATATCTTTGAAAGCCGCATTAGAGCCAGCAGGAACCTCAGTGGTAGATCCCCTTATCTTCCCAAAGAGCTCAGCACATTTGTCAGTATTGTTGACAAATGGTTCGCTCGACTCAGGGTACTCGAACGAAAAACTCCAATCAATCTCCTTGACCTTGTCACCACAGGATGGAGCGACTTTCGTCCGTTTGCTCGCCTCCTCGCTGCCGACTTGATCACCATCATTGTCTTCACCTGATGGCTTCTTCCTTTTTCCTTTCGCCTTAGCCTTGACGACCTCCTCCTTGGCGAGGCGAGCAGCCTCGGCTTCTTCCTCATTTTCCTTCTGCTTCTTGTTCTTCTTCCTCTTCTGCTTCCTCTTTTCTCTCCTCGCCGATTTCGTGGCTTCATCAACTTCATCATCTGTTTGGCGAGCTTCCACTTGATTCTTCGTATTGGATTCGGGATCATGCTCGGCAACTTGAGTCTCGATCTCGCCTTCGGCAATGGACTCGATGTTCGCATCTTGTTGAGGAGCGACATCAGGATCCTGAACCACCCGCGTCTGATTCAAGCGTTCTGATCGAAAAGCAGACGGACATTGGTCTTGGTTGCCACTTTTGTTAGCCTTAAACCTAGCGGCTAAGCTGAGCGCGTTAACTTGGATTGGGGCCATCTCAGTCGATCTCTCCCTTTGAAGATTCTATCTTCCCCAACTAGCTGAAATACAACTGTTGTCAGAACAAGATGACGAACACGGGACATCGATAGTAGTTTGTTTACCGTTCGTGATGCGAGTGATAGCGGTTTTGACTCTTCGACGATGTATATCAGGCCAATGATGTATCTTGATAGCCCTGATCTTCTGAAGATTTTCGTGGTAATTCTCTGGATACGCGTCGAGCTGAACGTTCCGATCTGCGAAAGGAAGAGAAATATCAGTAGAAAGTAAAGGAAGAATCGAAATATGACCGAACTAACGATCTACCGATGCTTCTGCTCCACTCATTCCTAAAATCTCTGGTCGTGTCGACGACCTTCGCGTAAAAGAATGACGCCTCCCAGCTTGGTGTTCTGTTGACGGGATAGACAAGGGAGCAATCCTTTCTAGCCTTTATCGTGTAGGTGCCTGGGATCGAGTTGTTCTTCTGAATGGTGGTCATTTCCTCAAATAAACGCCAGTCGACGTTGACCCCGACCTCGCTCCCAAATAAAAGAGCCGCGACCATAAACCGGATCCCCGCTGGAAGGATTTGTGAGAAAGCGATACGTCGCCGATGGACGTAGTCTGTTAATAACCTCAGCAAGGACACCCAGAGATGACAAAGACTGAACCACGCCTCGTAGAGCGTGACCCAGCCCTCTGGAGCTTGCCATGGCCGATCTTCGGGTCCTGGCGCCATTAGCTCACCGCGAAAACCGTACCACGATCGCATTTCTTCTAGGCGTTGAGCCGTCATCTGAGACGGGATATCGACCAGGCGATTCTTGATAGCCCCTTTGCATTTGGAACCTTTTCTACGAGGTCTAACTTCTTCGCCCTGTTTGTCTTCATCCTCACCACCTTCATCAACCTCTTCCTCGGCTTGTTCTGTAGCCTCGCCATCACGTGGATCTTCCTCGAGAGCAACTATTTGAAGACCCGTAGCCTCGCCTTGCAGAGACGCTCCATCGGAATGAACTCGATTCGCCAATTCAACCAGCGACGATTTTCCCGATCTGATTGATTGTCGGACCTCGAAGATATCTTAGGAGAGGAACTTGGGTTCCCAGAAGCTTCCTGGTCAGATCTAGAGCCTGACTCTAGGCTCGACTCGATACGTAGATCTCCTGAAGTCATCACTCAATGTTAGTCGTAATCGGAAGGGCGTAATCGAAGAAATTAAACCGTAGAAAAGAAGACGGGAACGGCGAAAAAGATGAAATCTAGAGAGAGAGAGAAAAATTCTAGAGTGAAGGGAGAGCAAAGTTACCTTTTATCAACGGAGAAGAAAATAAGAAGAAGAGAAGATGAGCAGAATATATAAAGGAAGGAGTAGCAATTACCGAGGAGAGTAATGATGACCCGGACGCGTCCCAATAATTAAATTAAATGCGGGCTCCACGCGCTTCCCAAAAAATCAGACCACCACTTGCGGCTCTTCGTTTCGCGAGTCGACAATTACTCGCGACTCCTCAGTTGCCTGCAGCGTTTCAACTTCCGAACTAAATAATTAAATAAGTACCACCTCGATTCTGAGAATTAGGCAATCAACATAGAGATCTCAAGGGTCAGAAAACTTCAAGTCGATGCGCTGAATATCGATGTAACATCTCCATCAACGGACTAGGGGGGATAATTGTTGTAGTTGGGCTGAGCACAGCCCCCTTTTCGTGATTTCAACTAAGCCCATATCGGCAAGGCCCAACGAAGTCAAGGATCATTAAGGGCCCATTCGCTCCACCAAGACGAGGTCGTTTCGATGATGGGCTTCGTAAACATAGGAGTAGCTCGCTACGTCGACGCGGTAAGAGTAGCTTGCCACATCATGATATTTCGATAGACGGTCGGTCAGGTCTACCTGTCCAACCGTTCGACCTACGCTGACCGAAATATAACCTAATCTCACTACTATAAATAGTCAATTATTACGGGATCCGTAATCTGAAATAAAAACTAAGAACTCGACACTTGCGAATACAAAACTATATACTCTCATCTCGATCAAGAGACCTCGACTAAATACATTATACCGAACTCGACTCTATTTAACAATAATCTCCGAACTGCCCTCAACAATATTTACTAAATTAACCTCGCGTGCTTATACGAACAAACAACCCAACATAGCAGCTTCTACAAAATCCACTTGTGTGACTTTATTATCCTCCCCAGCATTGTATACCACGACCATCCTCTTACAACACACGACAACTTCCTTCTCCTCGTCGACCCAAAAACTTATGGGAATCCACCCATAAAATGGAGGGGAATCCAATATTGTTAGAACCTTATTCCACTCACCAATCTTATTTGTTACCCATATCTCTCTCCATTGTGTATTTGTGCGTTGTAATAGCACCGAAAGTTTCTCTTCTCTAACAACTGATAGAGACAAAGTCTGATAAGAATGTTGATAGGGAAGCCGCATACGTCCAAATCTCTCTGTTGTAAATTCAAAACTCACTAAGTAGAAGTCGTACTGATCATTCTCTTTTTTATCCCAACCAAACCAATGTCTTTCCCTTCAAAGAGACCCTGGGACTAGTATAAAGTAAACGGCAGTTAGGAGTGACTAGAATCCTCCATGAATCAGAGTTAATCTCATAGATTTCGAATCTTGGCTTGTGACTGACACTATTGTATCTCAATATTTTGTAGCTCTTATTGCTGGATTTCTTGTCTTGGTAGTATCCAAGAGTAAAGGAGCCGCTTGATCTGTGATGAATTTGAGGTTGGATCCACCTGGATTGGCCAGTACAAGGGTTCCAAACCATGAGTCTAGTGTTGTATTTGTTGGTGCATAACAATAAGCCGTCGCAGTGAGAGACTTAAGAAATCTGGAATTGATCTAAACTAGAGCGAGGGTCGATTAGGCTAAGCTCACCTTTGACTCTATAGATGGACTTACTTTGTGATTGACGCTCAGGGAACAAATCCGAAGTTTCTTTTCCAACATGATGAGAATCATAGACTGTTTTGCGGCTTTATCAATGTGCTTTCTTGTGAATCTCTTATCGTTGAATAAACGGTTCCATTGTTTGCAAGTAGAACGTAACTTAACGGTTTCAGAGATATGGCGGGAACCCGACAAAGTATCTCCTCTAACAAATCCTCTGGAAGGTCCGACATCATCGTAGAGGTAGACTATAGTGATCCCCCAATGAAAGAAAGTTCCAGTGGCTTTGGCTTTTTGTTTAGGGTTTTAGTATATTTTAAGTTTGCTCCCGTGCTTAACCCTAATTATATAGACTAACCAAAAAAAAAAAATTCATTTATCTTATTAGAGTTATATATAATTCTCTACTTTTCCACTTTTCCAATTTTGTTTTTATTTTGTTTTTTTTTCTCATTTTCCTCTTGGATTTCTATTCTGATAATTTCAAATTCTATGTTCCGTTACGTCATATCTTAAAACTATATATTCTGCATTTGCTAAAGTATTATCAAGCGAAGAGGGTCTTCTACTTGTCAAGTTAATGGTCACAAGTTGTCCCTGTTCTTTATCTACTCTCAAGTGCTGTTGGAAACCAGCTCTCCATTCTATCACATAGTTTCTCTTGGATCATACCCTATTTGATATCTTTCTATCTTGGATCCATATGTAACAAGATTCTTCTTCATTTTTTTTCTGTCCATTACACCTAATATATATTTGAGTTAACCTGATCGTAATGCGTTTGAGTTGAAGAAGGAACTTCTGTTGATTCTACATGAAGCTTCCTCGACTCATACAAAGTTTTTTACAGCTGTGCATTCATATTTGATGTTTTGTAAGTGTTACTTTTAAATCAAAAAGAACTTTGGTAATAAGGAGATAAAATCGAAATTTAGAATGATAAAAAAATTGTGAGATATCCCGCTGATTACAAGCGAATAAAAGGTGGATAAAACTGATAACTGTCACGCGCACACACACACAAAAATAAAAGCAAAAACAAAATGTTACAAAGACAAGAGAGTGTCGATGTGATTGGGGAAAGTATAGAGCCATGACGGATGGTTGTCTCCAAGACGTTTGTTTCCAAGTCCATTACTGAACCGAAATGCATCATCCGCGATTCCCTTAAACTCGACTCTTCTCAAACTGTTTCTCACGGGATCAAAATATAATATAAAAAACGATCTAAGAAACGTGATTGGAACACAAATTAACTCACCAGCATCAGTGATACCATCAATTCTGTATATTTTGTTCAAACTCCGAGCAAAAGGTGTAAGAAAATGTTTACGTGACCACTTATGTTTCTTTGCATCCTCCAAGATCCACAATGTAATACCATCGTTGGCCATTGCATTAAGACAAGCTAACTTTCCCTCAAAAGGTATTAACATGAACCAATCCCCAAGACTATCCGATGGTAAGTTTATTCTATCAAACTTTTCAGTTCTGACATCAAAACTCATTACAATGCCACCAACATCCGAATCATCATTAACTGAGGCTGCATAATATAGAACACCGTTGATGCATTGCCACCCACCGTTGCATTTCTTTGTACGATGCTTCTGGTTGGTTTTGATCGTTCTCCATGATCTTTTAGCTGATCCCAAAGTTAAAACCCGACACGCATCAGAAGTTTCACCACGCGGCCTGCACACTACTTTATGTTTACCCTCGATTGGATCGTATCCTAAATAGACATTTATATCCTTCCACGTCTTGTTGGGTTTGGGTAAGGTTACAAACTGTTTCATGCTAGGGTTCCAAAGTATGGGTTGTGAACATGTTTGAAAGCAGATTAAGCCGTGGACAGATTCCGTGAGGCTGAAGCGACAGTTTTTTGGGTATTTCATATGATAGCTATCCACTTGCTGATGAGAGGATGATGATTGAAGCTCGTTCGCATTCTGATTGTGCTGCGGAAATGAGAAAACAAACAACTTGTCCTTTTTAATGAAGAACATTAGAAGACTTGGCCGCACTAAGGAGCGAGTTTCGAACGAGTTGGTGAAGTATGGATCGGTGGTGATTGATGACCAGAGCTTCGACACGCAACGACTTCTCACAATAGATTTCGGAGGTAGCCTTAAGAGAATATCTGAGATTAGACCGAGGGAAAACCACGATGTTGAGTTCGACATCTATGACGATTCTTCTCTGCTTCTTTTTCTTGTTGGTATATCTTTGGTCAATACCCTAGCTAATAAATTGATGAAAGAAAAAACAAATACATAAAAGGTTTAAAGAAGAAGAATTTACATGTTGCGGAAGAATTATGATTGACTTTAATAAAAATAAGGAGTAAAGTTACAAATTATATTCACTTACTGTATATAGAGAAAAGTAATCCCTTAAGTTTTCTAAACAAGATAATTACTGTACAAATAGTAATTGTTCAAAAAATAAAATATTCCAAATAGAAATAATACATTTTATAAATAAAGGTAAACTCCTAAATTAAGATATTGACAAATTCATACGATCTTTCCATTATTGAATTTTGACTTCGATTTGGTTTTGGTCGATCCTGTTTGATCTCCCAATACGATTTCCTCTGTGTTTACACGATTTCACCTTCATCTATGTCTTTCCACCATTCGTTTAAGTGAGAATTGGTTTTATAATGCTGATTGAATTATAATTTGTTCTCTTTAATGTTTTTTATTTTTTTATCACTTTTTGACATACTTGTCCTTTTAAATCAGTTATGACAGTTCTAGTTAAAACTAAATTCGAAATTATATTTTAAGAATTTCGAAAATACCTAAAAAAAAATTAAAAATATTTTTGTATATCATTTATAAAAAAAAATATTTTTATAATGTTTTTAAAATTCGTTCTACGCTTGGTAGAATGCATGTTCTATGTTCTACGTCCACGTAGAATCCCATTTCTATAGTTCTTCACATATTCTACCAGCCTGTAAAAGTCGTTTTCTATAGGTTTCTATATATTCTACTGATTGGTAGATTACAACTTCTACTGGATAGACAATATTCTACATGTTGGTAGAATACATCTTCTACCTCTTAGACCAGGTTCTACGTTATTGTAGAACGGTTCTTCTACCTGTTAGACTTCATTCTACATTAAGGTAGAATACATCTTCTACCTGTTAGACTTCATTCTACAGTAGAATACATCTTCTACCAAAATCAGAGAAAATCTAGAAAAATTAGTTAACTCTCAGATCAAAAAAATTTTGAAAATCTTTACTTTTTTTTTTAATTTTTCAACGTTTTTTATCAGTTTTTGACGATTTTTGCTGTCATCGTTCTCTTCTTTTTCTTTCACATTGATCAAGCAGATTTTTCTTAAGTTTATATATCTTCTGCTTCAAACATGCTATATATCTATGTGACTTGTGGTTCATGAAAATCAGGGACATATAAGAAGTGGATTTTTGTGGTTGAGGGTTTAGAATCAAACAAGTATCAGAAAACTGTAAATAAAAAAAAACCTCCCCAAATCAATTTATAAACCCTAAATTCAAAACTGAATGATAACGAAGAAGACAGGCGGAGGAGAAAGACTTTATAGACTATGTAGATTGTGTATTTACCGGAAATTGATTTTCCAACGAAGACTGTGCAGGTGAAGAAGACTGTATCGATGATGTGATGGAGAAGAAATATATTGTGTGGAAGGGGATGTAGAATCTCTTTTCTACTGATATGTTTTTAATCATAAAATATTATTAATATAAAAATTTAATTAATTAAATAATTTGAAATTAATGGGCATAATAGGAAAAAATTTCAATAAAACATAATAAAGACAGAATTTTTTCAAAAAATATTAAGGAAACAAATTCTAATTCAATTTGCATTATAAAACCAATTCTCCCTTCATTTAATCTACTAGATTAGGATGGTTATGGTTTATTAAGTTTGAGACATCAATTACTTTATATTATAGCTTAATCTTATATATAAAGAGTGCTCAACTCTCTCCAGCTGATTGACACGTCATCACTGGAGAGGTTGACACCTGTCCTATACAAATCTTAATTAATGAAAAAAATTATTCTTGAAAAACCTAACGTCGAACTCTTCCTCTTCCTCGTGAGTCTCCCCGAAAAGGTTTTGGTCGACGGCCATGGACTTTTTCTCACACGATGTTTGATTGATTTTCACGAAAATCTTTTGAAGAGATTTCGATCTGCCTCAGAAAACTTCCCTGGAGCAACCAAAGCTCCTCCCGATTTACTGCTTCTAATCAGGACTAAAAACGGAAATCATTTCCGTACATTCTATAAGCATTTCTTCCCATTTTTGCAGGTGATTTTAATTTCTTTTTTCTTTGATTCAGCATCTTTATTTGAGTTGTGAAAAATCGAATCCAAATTTTCGTCTCTTTTCCCTCTCTTCGATTTTGTTTTCTCGACAGTCCCCAAACCATATACCACAACTTTTCGAGCTCCTTGTGTGAAATAAAACTAAAGATGATAATAAGAAACACGTCTGATGGATTAGCTTCTGTGAGGATTAACACCATTGATTCTCTACCAGACGCAGCTGCACCATCTCCTCCTATGGTAAATCAATCTGAGTGGCGCTACGTGCCAACTGTAACAGAGGAAATGAAATTAACTTCAGATGTCATGGGAAGCCGTCTGGAAAAACCTCCATCCTCCATGGAAAGTTCACCTCCTTTCATATGGTCTGGTTTAAGTTCCACAAAGGTCCAAATCCAGCCATTGTCCACAACTGATTTCCTGCTTCAGATATCGGTTTTTCGCCAGGTATCTATAATCTCGCTTCGTATAAACTTAACTGGGAGCTTTCTGCGCATGAAAATGCATCGTCGTCAGGGACATGCCAAATTGCCAAGGCTATCCTTATTACATTACTGTTCTTCAGTCTGAGTGAGAGCTTTATAGCTTTAGAAAGCATGAAAATATCTTATGCTATGATGTTTCGTTGTCCTCTGTGTATTCGTTTTTATGGTTTACGTCTGAGTTTTCAATTTTGATTGTATCCACTTGTTGTCAAGAAATAGTTTTAGTAGGAGAAAGATGAATTTTTATACAACGCCAAAAAGGGGAGAAAAAAGGATGAATCTTATTTGTTTGTGCCGTGGGATAAAAGATTACATACACTACTCATGGCCATTATAAGTGTTTATACCTTTTAACTATACTTTTATTTACCTGAACCATTTATAAGTTAGTTCTATTTCGTTTATTTAGATTAGATTATGTCTGATTCTTGAGAGGAATATTTGAGAAATTGGAAATGCAGAAGAACTGGGGTTTGAATCATTTATTGGGGATTAAAATGACGTCCTACGCCCAATTATTAAAAAGAAAAATCATGTATATAAAATTTCAGTTGAGTTTTTAAGTTTCAACTAACAATGTGTTCTCAAAAAAGTTTACTTACCCCCAAAAAATATTATATACCAGCTTGCAAGAAGGCGCATAGTGATATCTGCAGAGTGAAGATGGCGATTGAAAACGCAATAAAAAGATCCAGTATTTGAAGAGGATTGTTTGCAAGTCAATATTCCAGTGGAGTGACTTGTCAATTTTTTCTTACGTCATTGGTGCTATATTTTTTGTATGACATGTATAATATGTAAAGTTCATTTTGTTTCTGTTTTGGCGGCAGAAACTCTTTAAGATGGAGTGAAGGAGCACTACTTGGATATGAATGTCCTTGCGAGTAGTAGAAGCTATACATGAAGTTATATTAGACACTCATGGGTCAATGTCCTTCTGTTTCAGTCTCGCCCACTCAAAGCTATCATTATCTTCTATGATCCAGAGTCAGACCTGTTCTATCGTTAGTCTTATATGAGAAGGAGGTCCTTCTCGCTTGGTGGTATGCATCTTCTCTCTCTCTCTCTCTCTCGTCTGACTAATATGTGTGTTTTTGTTCAGTGATTCACTTAATCGAGATCGTTGTGTCTCTTTGGCACTACCAACAAGACAAAACAGTTACAACAATGTCTTCATCCTGACCATTGGGAGGACTGGTCTCCTACTACAATAATCTAATTGTTGGATGTCAATAGGTTTTGCCAATTAGTCTAATTATCAATAAGACATTGTTGGGCTAGAAATCTGTTAAATCTGTGTATGAGGTATGATAAATACATTATCAAAAATGAAAAGTGAAAACTATGAAGAATATTTTGTTGACAATAAGTTCAATGTACCGATTAGTTTAACACGTTAACTGTTTCCATCTGTTTTATTATAAGATACGTATATTTTGTATCATAAGTTATTTCACTTATTTCATTCTAATTAAATAATAACAATAAAAAATTTTCAGATCTACATCAACAAAAATCTGTATTATTTATCAAAATTTTAAAACAATAAAAAAAGAAAAACAAATAGTTATTATGAAAACTACCCGCACGTAGTGCAGGCACTCATCTAGTAACACTAAAAGTTATTATTAGAGATATGCATATTTCAGGGGAATTCTATAATAAACTGTTTTGAGGGAATCACGGAATATGTATTTTACTTTGGACATATTAATAAACCATGACCAAATTTCTATTAGTTAGGGGTTTTAGATAGTAATTAATAACCAAACGAAAAATTGTTTCGAAAAGACAGACTCTAGTTTCAGTTTTGCAGATTTAATAAGTTGTAATTTACAACATTGTTTATCTTAACAATATTACTGCTTTTTTTTTGGTTCAATCAATATTACTGCTTAAATAATATGATTTTGGTATCAAAGTGATCTTCCGTTAAACAGTTATGTCTGGTATCTAACACAATGGTCCGGTACTCTGGTTGGTGAGTGTGGAGGTTGAGATGTTCTTTTTACTTGTCGCGTTGGTTCGCTATTTTACTCATCGGTCGTAACAAAGACTTTTCTCATCCACCGGTCTTGTACGAGAGAGAACAGTGTAAAGATTGTCAATTAGCTAGTTAGTCATATATAATCTTATACAGTTTTAAAGAAAATCATGATTAACTATAGATAATTTCTGTTTCTTTGTTAACATTAGTTCTATATTCTTGCTAGATATTAACCTAACATTTTAGCTAAGCCTATGAATTTGGGTTAACCAAACCGTTCCGTTCAGTTATTTCGGTTTCTCAGTTAATTCAACCAAAATTAATCCAAAAAAATTCAGTTTAGTATGGTTACTTGGTAATTTGGATTAACTTTTTTTTTACCAAATATAGTAACTTGCGGGGTTTGTGTCGAAATTAGATTAAATCGGGTAATTTCAGTTATATTCAATTAATTTAATTCGATTCGATTATTCGGTTCAAACTTTTAATTATATTTTCGAAAAATTTGATATACTCAGAGTACAATTTGGTATAAAATCATTATTATCGCAGGTCCTTTTATGGTTTTCTTAGCAAAAAAAAACAATTAAAAATTGAGGGAAGCCCAAATCTGTTAAAAATTCTTATTTGAGATCATTACCGTTTTTCACCGAAAAAATTCTTTTCCTTTTTCTTTCTTCTTTTTTTCCCAGCAATTTCTCTGTCTTTCTATTTTTTTTTTAAATTTAATAATAAATAAATCACTAAAAATCCCATTATATGGTCTAGCCATAATGATGCTCTAAGCCTAAAGTCGGTATGAAAAAATTAAATAAACGAATCGAAGAACCGATTACCGATCCCAATTTTGAAAGTGATCCATCGGTTCAACCTTCCAAACCAAAGGAAAACCAAAAATCGAAAAAGTTCAGCTCTACTTAATTCGATAAAATTCCAAGTCCTAATTTTAGCTAATCTATATAAAAAGCCTTAGTTACTTTAACATTCTCAAAACATCTAAAATGGCCAACTCCGTTAACGCTTGTCGCCGTCCTCACTACTTGCTTGTAACATTTCCGGCGCAAGGTCACATAAACCCGGCGCTCCAACTAGCCAACCGTCTCATCCACCACGGCGCAACCGTCACATACGCCACCGCCGTCTCAGCTCTCCGCCGCATGGGCGAGCCACCTTCCGCCCAAGGTTTATCCTACGCATGGTTCTCCGACGGTTTCGACGACGGTCTAAAGTCCTTCGAAGACCAAAAAATCTACATGTCCGAGCTCAAACGCCGCGGCTCAGACGCCCTGAGTGACATCATCAGAGCCAATCTCCACGACGGAGCCACCACCATCACCACCGTTATCTACTCTGTTCTCGTCCCTTGGGTTTCCACGGTGGCGCGTGACTTTCACCTCCCGACTACACTTCTCTGGATTGAGCCAGCGACTGTACTCGATATCTACTACTACTACTTCAACGACTCTCACAAACACCTCTTCGAAACCGACCCGATTAAATTACCGAATCTGCCACCGATCTCCACCGGAGACCTCCCGTCGTTTCTTCAGCCGTTGAAGGCTTTACCTTCCGCTCTTGTAACTCTTCAAGAACACATCGAAGCTCTTGAATCGGAATCGGACCCTAGAATCTTGGTGAACACTTTCTCCAACTTGGAGCACGACGCGTTAGCCTCCGTTAAGAAACTCAGAATGATTCCAATCGGACCGTTGGTTTCTTCCTCCTCCGATGGTAAAGCTGATCTTTTTCGATCTTCAGAGGAGGATTACATCAAATGGCTAGACTCGAAGCAAGAGAAGTCCGTGGTTTACATATCCTTAGGCACACACGCGGAGGATTTGCCGGAGAAACACATGGAGGCGCTAACTAGCGGCGTGTTAGCCACTGGCCGGCCGTTCTTATGGGTTGTGAGGGAGAAAAACCAAGAAGATGATAAGAAGAAGAAGAATAGGTTTCTTGATTTGATCAGAGAAGATGGTCGAGGAGGATTGGTGGTTGGGTGGTGTTCTCAGACGGCGGTGCTGGCGCATCCGTCGGTGGGGTGTTTTGTGACTCATTGTGGTTGGAACTCGACGCTGGAGAGTTTGGAGAGTGGAGTTCCGGTGGTGGCGTTTCCGCAGTTCGCGGATCAGTGCACGACGGCTAAGCTTGTGGAGGCCACGTGGCGGATTGGAGTGAGGGTGAAGGAAGGGGAGGAAGGACACGTGGAGGGAGATGAGGTGAGACGATGTCTTGAGAAGGTGATGAGCGGTGGAGAGGAGGCGGAGGAGATGAGAGAGAATGCAGCGAGGTGGAAGACGCTGGCCGTTGATGCGGCGGCGGAAGGTGGGCCGTCGGATTTGAATCTTAAGAGGTTTGTGGAAGAGTGATGGGTCTTTAAACTTTGTAAGGGTTGATAAAGAGATTAATAAGAGGTAAGACAAATGAGATTAAGAGTTAAGACTAAAGAGATTAATAAGAGTTAAGACAAATGAGATTAAGAGTTAAGACTAAAGAGATTAGACTTGAACTTGATGAACTTCTCTTGTCGAGAGATATTGAGATGTTGTTTAACTGTCTGCGATGAATTTAATTGCTGAGATGTGTGCAGAACTAATAGATATCCGTGGAAGTAAACATAATTTTTCCATGTATTTATGGCTAATACGGAAAAATAGAAGCAACTTTCTATTAGGAAAAAAAATAATTTAAAGCTATTTTACAACTGCTAAGATTTGGGAAGATTCAAATCAGTAATTTATGGTTCATAGTGATATTATCTATGGTTCTCATCATTCTTTTCCAAACGCTAGACCTTAGGAAAAAATGGGAAGCTCTGGGGATGGGTATGACAAAATGTAACATTGGTGTTGCTTGATCAAGGAAGAAAAGGATAGGCAAAGCTCCTTGGGTTTTGCAGTGTACATATTCTTGAAGATTTAACAGTGTTTCATACATTCTCTAAAAAAATCTCAATTCTCAAGTAACAAATGCCAGGTTCATTAGACAAAAAAAATACACACATGAATTTGTCAATGATATGTTCTACAACGATATCGAGTGAAGGAAGATAAGCAGATAACCATTCCTCCTTCAAACTTGGAATTTACATAATTCATAAAAAAAGTGTGAAGGGTCTCGCAATACGGCCAAACGGATTGCATGGTCTCCCAATAGGAACAAACAGATTGCACAAGATCATGTAAAGAGATCAATTAATACTATTAGCACGTCCTTTATTGTTGTTTCCTCCCATATCTCATACTACTTTGTTGGAGGTGGATTGCACCCCATCTTAAAGCCCGTCTCAAGTCAAGATCGGCTCATCTCACGAATGAAGCTCGTGAAGCCGACGAAGCCCATTGCCCATTTAGCCGACGAATCCCATTAAGCCGATGAAGCCCATTAAGCTGATGAAACCCATTAAGCAAAATGAAGCCCATTTAGCCGATGAAGCCTATCAAAGCCAATCGTGCAGATCCATGTAGATCGATGGGACTGTGCCAACAAGATGTCTAAAGGGTGGTTAGTCTGCTCTACTTGACCGACCGTATGACTTATCATGCCCGTCAATGCGATCTATTGCTTATTCTGCTAATAGAATAGTTGGTTTATGAAAATCGGCTAATTATATTTGGTTTATGGTAATTTATTGTAAATCAGATTGTGTCCTCTAGTAATATAAGGAAAACCAATGTAATCATCATTTTCAATGATCAATAACAGAATTACTTTCTCTCTCTTTGTGTCTTCTATCATGGTATCAGAGCGTTGAGGTCAACTCTCAACAATCTACGATCTTCTTTATTTCCTCGCTTTTTGACCTAATTTCATCGGAAATTCTTCCGATTGAAACATTTCTTTCATTTTTCTGCACAATTTGAGCTCAACTTCGGGTCATTCCACCTGATAAGCTTCAAGATGGTCACATTTTGTCACACTTCCCGTCGCACAGCTCGCGCAGCTTTGTCGGCAGTGAAATCAACGAGATCCATTGCCAATCAGTCAAATCCGGCCACATCAGTTTCAGAACCACCTATTCTGGTAATTATCGCGGCTAATCCACCGCCTGCAACAGTTCTGATGCCATTGTTCGTAGCTCATGACGTTGTTCACTCAACGATACCTCAACAAAGCTTCGATCTCAATGGTATTCAGTATTCTCCATACTTCTTGACCAGTGGTGATAATCCAGATACATCTCTTATCTCTGAGACTCTCGATGGAACTAATTTCAAATCTTGGAATCTAGCCATTACAAGTCTTAGATGCTAAGAATAAGCTAGCATTTGTTGATGGTTCTTTACCGCATCCACCAGACTCTCATCCACATTATCGAATTTGGTCGAGATGCAACTGCATGGTTAAGTCTTGGATATTGAACTCGGTCACCAAACAGATCTATGGAATTATTCTCAGATTCAATGATGCTTTTGAAATCTGGAATGACTTAAAGACTCGATTTCATGTCACAAACTTACCGAGATCATATTAGCTTACTCAACAAATTTGGTCTCTGCAACAAGGTTCAACAGATATCTCTACGTATTACACCAAGTTGAAGACACTATGGGATGATCCTAGATGGAGCAAACTGTGCAAAGAGTTGCCAAAACTGCAACTGTTGCAAAGCTAATGCAGCCAAATCAGAACACACAAAGGAGATCAAATTTCTTGCTGGTCTAAATGAATCTTACACTTTTTCCCACAGTCAAATCATCATGAAGAAACATGTTCCTGCTCTAGCTGAGGTGTACAATCTTCTAAACCAAGAATACAATCAAAGAAACATCAATCCTCTTCAGAATGCCTCTGCATTCAATATCTCAGCTTCTGAATCTGTATCAGTCAACGCAGCTCATTCAACATAAAATAGTTAAAAGACACTCACTGTGGATACAATGGCCATACAGTGGATAAATGCTACAAATTCATGGATATCCTTCTGGTTTTAAGCACAAGCAGAAGAATACAACAGATAAGACTACTACACAAACTAAACCAGTGGTAACTCAAGTGGCTCTTAACTCTCCGCAATCTATAGAATGTCTGACCAATAATCTCTCAAAGGATCAGATTCATGAAGTCATTGCGTATTTGAACTCGTCCTACTGATTCATCCACGCCTTCAACCTCTGGTGGAATGATCACAACTCTTCCTGGTATGGCTTTTTCTTCAAACTCATTAAGTTTTGTTGGAATATTACGAGCTACTAGCAATGCATTATCTTCTACTTCATGGATTGTGGATAGTGGTGCGATTCACCATATTACTCACGACAAGAGTCTGTTTATGAGCCTAACTGAATCGGTAACTAGTTCAGTCACTCTTCCTACTGGACTAGATATAAAGATTACAGGAATTGGAAGTATTCGAATAAATAGATATTTGATGTTGAATAATGTCCTCTACATTCCGGACTTCAGATTAAGTCTCTTAAATGTGAGTCAGTTAACGAAAAACTTGAAATGTCGTGTTATACTTGACAAAGCTACTTGTCTGATACAAGATCATATTAAGGGGTTGAAGATTGGTCAGGGTGAGCAGATTTTCAATCTCTATGTTCTGGATACTGATTGCTTTGATACATCTACCCTGCAAAATCTTCCTTTCTATGCAAATGTCATTGTGGATTCAAGTTTATGGCACAATAGATTAGGACACCCATCTGTATCTAGATTTGAGTTGGTTACAGATGTTTTGGGAATAAAACAAAGAAATAAAGACTCATTTCATTGTTCCATATGTCTTCTTGCCAAACAAAAGCATATTTCATACTATTGATTGTGGTTCTCAACTATTTAGGGTCGGTTCAGTAATTCGAGTTCGGAAGATTGATTTTATTTAATTAAGTTTCAAGTTTACAGTTCGTTCAGTTCGGAGGTCTCTCGACGAACTGGATACAATAATATTGAGGTCTCTATGACTCCGGGTCCGAAAAAGATCCCTTCTACAGTAACGAGCCCTCTATTTATAGTACATTAACGAGGAGAAGACTTAGGGCTTCCCCGTCGACTCTCACTGCCTCTTGTCGCTGGGCCTGTCTCCCTGTAGGCCGTGCTGTCAGACCAGGCCCATTTCGGCTAAGACTGTCGTAAACCGGGATCAATTGGGCCGATCTCGGTCTTTAACCGGTCCGAACCGGGTAGCGGAGCGTACCACCAACAGTATGTCCCCCCCCCCAGTTCGGTAAATGAACCTGACTGACGTTTGCCGACTTGAAGTTGGAGCGGTTGATGACCAAGGTCGGCGAAACTAGATTCCCGATTCCCGTACGCGCTTCCCTTTCTCTGACGTTTTTGACGAGGGTATTAAGGTCTATTCGCTCGTAGGGAACTGAAGTGTCGCGTCGGTTTTGGCGGGAAAATGAGGCGTTGCGAGGCGCGAAACTCGAGAAGTCGCAATGATTCGTTTTTCTTCTATAAATAGGGCTCAGCTCTCCCCATTTCTTACTTTTGCTCTCACTGCCAAGGTATTTGCTCTCCCTTCTCTCTAAGTTTTCTTCTTTCTCTCTCTAGGATATCCGGTCATCGTCCGCCGTGCTCTCTCGTCGACGGTTGTTTCTCAAGGTGCTCCGACAATGTCTTCCGAATCCTCATCTAACTCCGAGAATGCCGTCTTCCCCGAACACCGCCGGGAGGAAACTTCGACTGATATTTCGAGTTCGGAATATACCGAACACTCTTCGAACGCATCCCTGGTTCAGAAGAACTCTCGGGTCGTCGAAGTCGGGTCCAGCAGTCGTGTTCCGATTCGGGCTCCGGAACAGATGGATCAGGATCTCCGTGAGCCCGAGGGTCAGGTTCCTACCGACCTAGCCATGGGTCAGGAGCCGGACGTGAAGACGGACGAAGTTCTATTACAGGAGGTCGGGGAAGAGGGGGCCCAAGATCCGAACGATGATGACATGATGCTGATCATAGAGCGGCCATCCATGTGTGCTCCCATGAAATTTACGCTGTCGTCCCCAGAGACAGTCCGGGCCGCCATGCTAATCTACGGGGCCCCTTCCGGTATCATAATATAAATTCCCGAACCGGGTGAGCGCCCTTGGGATGCTCCTAAGGGCTTTATCTGCGTCTACGAGGCGTATTTCCGCGAGGCCGGGCTGACCTTCCCATTACCGCGTCTACTGTTCGCCTACTGCAATCGTCGTGGTTGCGCGTTATCGCAGTTACAACCGGCGTCCATAGTGAACTTCGTCGGGATCCTCCAGCTCAGGCGCGACATCGATACTTACATCAATGTCGCCCAGTTCGAGGAACTTTTCATTATGAAAGTTTCGCAGGCCAAGAGTTGGTTCTTATCCGCGAACTGCAACCCGAAGTTTGACTTATTCACCGGGAACAAGGCGAGCAAGTTTGCGGACTGGGACAAAAGTTACTTCTTTGTTTGTGTTGATTCGCATTTTGCTGAGAATCCGGAGAGCACGTTCCGGACTGGTTGGAGTGTTGATTTTGGTACATATCTCACGGTTAACTTTCTTATTTTCTGATCGGTACTGACCGCTCTCTATTTGTGCAGAT